GTTATAGAGAATTCAATCTTTTCTGGATTCTTTCTCATTCATGATCATATATCCTTCTGTTCAGAATTTGATGTCTTTTTCCATCGTCAGAGTTCAGGATTCTTCGTGTCACCGTATTTTGATTTCTGCAGATTTCTGAGCAAGGTAAGAACTTTTAATGAATTTCATCGTCATCCATCTCTCTCAACATAACTTTGGTTTTTGCATCCCGTCTTTTTTTTTCTTTGGAATATCCATTGGTTTCTTTTGCTAAATTCGGTAGACTGGCAAAGAGACGAGCTTTATTGGTTTTCGATCTTGTTTGACTGTTATCTTATGGTATCACGTGGGCTTCATCTTGGCTTGCATTTCTCATCCCAGTTTTTACTTTTGAATTGAGCTTGTTTATACCTATGAATCAAGCATGCAATTTTGACATGTTTTCTCAAGCTTCAGTAGATTCTAATGACATAGAATCAGGCTTTGCTTATCCTCAATTTTGATCGATCATCGAAATAAAATATTTCCTTTGTGATGTATGTCGGTTACAGTCAACAAGGCCTAACCTCTGCAGCTAACTCTTATCTCTGATTAATCAAAATTTCCAAGTCTATCTCCGAAATCCGATCATTGTTAGTCTAGCCACATCTATCGTAGTAGATCCAAAATGACTTTAAATTCTAGAAAAGCTCGACTCGAGTTATAGCATCTCAGCGAAAATTGAATTCGATCTTGATCCCCTTACCAGACTACCGCTAAGTTTGTTCACATAAAGTTGAATTATGATCAACCGATCCGACTTCCAAACTTCAAGAAAAACAATCTTCAAATCAACGTGCACCTTTTGAGTTGAAGATGTAATAATTTTTAAGAGAATGATCGATTGTCATTCCCAGTTTTTAGATAATTAAGAATACGATCTGAAGGTATGAAGATCAGAATTCAATTTTCTCTAATTAAATTGAGTTTTGCAAAAAACTTTGGCTAAGTAGAAGTTTAGTCAAGCATGAATTAGATCATATTTAGCATTGTGAAAAGAAAATAATGAAAGAAAATAAAGAAATATGGAATTGAAAGAAAAATAGAACTTCAATAAACAACAAAGGAAAATAAATTTCAATATGAGTTTCAACTGTTGAACTTAAGGGGTATTTATAACATGAGAGTTCTAAGCAAATAAAATAACTCATTCCTAAAATAATCAAACTAAAAATCCTAAAAAGAATTATAATAAAATAACTAATTTTTAAATAAAATAATAATAGAATAATCAAACTAAAAATCCTAAATTAAAAATGTTTATCACAAAAGATAAATTTAAGTCCTCTGGTTGAATTATTCTTCATCTTCTGGATAACCTTGTCCCAAGTAAATTCCAAATTAAATATTCAATGAAGTTTTGCTTGTCTTCTATAAGATACTGAATGGACTGTCGAAATCTACTAGTTTTTTAGGATAATTAATCCAATGAAGTTCCTATCCAAAATAAACTCAAAATAAAGATAAATAAGTAATATCAAAACGATAAATGAGAGGTAAATAATAATAAAAATATGTAATATTAAACTCTCATCAATAATCCATCTTTTTTTTATGTGAGTCTTGTGGTGCATGTATCATCTTCCATCTCTTTAAAAAGATTTGACATCGAATATGAAATATCAGAAGGAGAAACTTCATAATCTTTGAATGGTTTTATCACATTATACTTACTGAATAGTTATGTTTTGAATATTTGAGACGATATTATTATAATAGGTTGGCAGCCATGGAGAGGTTGGAAGTGAAAAGAAGCAAGCGATGTCCACTCCACAATGTTGTTTTAAGAACAATGTAATAAAATCTTTTGGAGAGTGAATACTGAGAGAAGCAAAGGCCACGAGATGATGAGTACAGACTATCAAAAGGAATCTGGGCTCTATTCATGGCCCCCTTGTGTGTTTTTTTTTTTTTTTTTGCATATAAATTCCTTCTCAGTAAGAAAGTCTCAAAATCAAAACTTTGCATTGTAATTTTAATACTTTTAACTTATAAACAAAAGGGAAAAATACTATTCAGTAAGAAGCTTAAATTATGTGTTTGGCAACTAACTTTACTCTCTTATTTGATTCATTGTACTTTTCATTTTTAATTTATTTACTAAATTTTATATATAAATTTTTTTTGTCACTCTGCTTTTAAAATTTTTTAAATTTATTCACTGAACTTTATAGATAGAATTTTTTTGTCACTCCACAATTAAACAATGTTATGAATGACAATTTACATCAAAACGATGTCGTTTTAAATTCCTAGAAAAATTAAATTTTAAACTAAAACGATGTCATTTTGATTAAAATAAGATCATGTCATACCACCATTATTTATTTAACGGTGGAGTGACAAAAAATTCAATCTATAAAATTCAGTGAGTAAATTGAAAAAAATTGAAAGTACGACGAATGAAATAAGTGATGGAATAAAATTCAGTTACCAAATGTGTAGTTTATCCTTATAAGAATGATCACTTTCATTTTAATTTTGTTTAATTTTGATAAATAATTTTAAAAAATCAATTTATTATATTTTAATTATTAAAATATTAGTTCTCTTTAGTTTAATGACGTGCTAAGTTAATTTCAAAATATAATATAATTTTTACTTAAAGTTCACTTGATGTAATAATTATACAAAATATGTATTTTCTCTCTTATAAATATAGTCTTACCTCACTTCATTTTTTACCCCGAGAAAATTTTTTAAAAGAACTTTTAAGAACGTTTTAAGGAAAAAAAATGTGAAAACATATTTTGAAAGAATTAGTGTTTTTTCGGATATTCAAAAAGGGGAAAGAGCATTTGGAAGGTACATTTTTTATTAGGGTAAACTACACCAATAGTCATTAATGTTAGGGTAAATGTTTGTTTTTACTATTGATGTTTAAAAAATTACAAATCGGTCACCAACGTTATCGTTTGTTACAAAATGGTCACTCAACGTTAACAATCGTTAATAAACGTGACAGAAAATTAGTTGAACTGTTATATGCTGAGTTGGATCGTTGACTACCACAACTGGACCATTTTGACCGGTTCTTCTTATTCTTCAACTCGTTCCCCATCATCTTCTCCTTTTCTTCTTCTTCCCTTTTATTCTTGACTAAAGCATTACCCATTTTTCACTTTTATCCTTTTTCCCCCTGAACATTTCCCATCTGATTTTCTGTAATTTTCTTGTCTATGTTCAACTAAAGCAATTAAATACAATTATTGAAGAAATCTTTGAAAACATATGTAAAAACCACCACAATCATTCCCCATGTTTCTGGAAAAAAATTAATGACCGATTTCATAATGTTCATCGTTTTAAATTTCTGAAAAAATAAATAAATGAAAACTTAATGACCCAGGTAATGAAATTTGAAAAACGACTTACAGATGAAGGTGAAAGGGACTTGGCGAATTCAATACTCTGTAAAAAAACCCTCGAAATTCTGATCACAACCAGCGTTATCGGTCGTATGTTTGATCGCATAAACTAGCATGCCTCGTAAACCAGCCTCCTGGTTTTCTTCAAGCACTCTACACCTCCGTCGGGGTTTCATCAACGCAAAAATTTTCAAAGAACGTGAGTTTAACGATTTTCAATATGATATCATGTAGAAAAGAAGTTTTGATGAGGCGAGAATTCATAACCCATGTAGCGAAAATCGACGAACGTCTCATTGGAAGCCAACCCGAGGTTGACCGATGAACGTAAATGCTTCAACGTCGAAGTCGAAGCGAAAAGTTTTTTATGATCATCAAAGTCAAGATGAGTTGTTGGTCGTGGTGGTAGATGGTGTTTCTTGACGTTGGAATGTTCAGATTTCTCATCGAAATTCAGAGGAAAAACAACGACTCTTTTTCTTCTTCAACCCAACCCCATCTTCTTCTTCATTTTTTTCTTCTTCACAAATGGTTACACTATTGACATGTTTTGGTGGTAATGTGATGTTGATCGGTTTTGTTTCGTGAAGGCGTTTGGCCAGAATTGAAGAGCTTTAGTGATGAAGGAATGGGACATATTCCATTGAAGTGGCGAGGAGAAGAAAAGTGAAGAGAAAGAAATAAGAAGAAAAGAAGAAGAAGATGGGGAACGAGTTGAAGAAGAAGAAAAGCCTACCAAAATGGTCTAGCTACAACGATCAACGATCCAACTGAACAGATAACGGTCCAGTTGTATTTTTCGTCACACCTATTAATGGCTATTAATGTCGAGTAATCATTTTGTAACAAACGATAACGTTAGTGATCGCTTTGTGACTTTTTAAACATTAGTGGTAAAAACAAACATTTACCCTAACACTAATAACCATTGGCGTAGTTTACCCTTTTAATTATATATGAGTTCAGAGTTTTAATTATATACTACTATTATTATACTTTTAATTATAAACATGGATATTGATGCATCACAGAAATTAAGAAACAATTAACTGAATTTTGATTTATTTCATATTAATTTTATAGTGTATGTTATATATTTCAGTTAATATGAATCATGATACGTAAAAAATTATCTCATATATCATATTTTTATCTCGTTAGACCTGTTTACTGTTAATTTTTTTTTAAATTTTAACTCATTATTATTTAAAATTATTATTAACGAAAATATAAAAATATATTTTAAAAATTTTAAATCAAGTAATTTTTAAATATATATTTTATAAATTTAATTTTTTAAAATATTTAAAATAATTATAATTAAAATTTAAAAATTATAAGTTTTAAAAAATCAATAATGGACACAATTTAGTGGACATAAATTTAAAAAATTTGATCTATGTATTATGAGTTGATAATGGCCAACCTAGTAGTTGTTAATTTGACGAAATATCTAATTGATATGATATTCATGGTTTATAGATTTAATTTAAGAATTCAGGTTTTCATAAAAGGAAATTAAGGATTCAGTTATATGGTTTTGAAATTTAAGTATTTATTTATTGATTTTTTTTGCCATTGTTTGGAGGCTTTGGGCGAGGAGAAATTAGGACTCCGGCGAAGATCAGCGCCTCGAGTCCCAAACTAGTATCTCTTAATTATATAATATATGTATTATTTGTAAGAACTGTTAGAAAATCAGTTCATATAAATAATTATCTGCAATCAAAGGAAAATAAAAAAAAGGGAAGAAGAAAACTTCATTGTAATTCTCTACCTTTCTTACTTTTAACGATGAACGCTCATCATGCTTCACTCGGTCGACGGACGGTAAGAAGAATTTGTACCAAGATTTTGTTGTTTATTTTCTTTTTAATCGAATTTCGTTTTAATATAATTCCTAGGTTTGATTGTATTTATTTAATTTTATTTTTTGAGTTTTGATTTTGGGATGATTTTGAATAGCTGGAGGAGATTCGTCAAAAGAGAGCAGCCGAAAGAATCAGCAAAGCTTCATCTGGATCCGATCTCGTCCAAGCTCCAATTTCAGCCGGTCTCTCCTTTCTCGTTTTTATTCCATTTTTCGAAACTTTTTTTTGAAATAGGATTCTAATTTGTTAAAAATTTTCTATTAATTTTTTATGCTTTGCAGATGTTCCTGTCATGGAGAAATCGGGAAGCGATAATCGACTCTCTGAGGTATTTTCTGTCGTTTTTTTGGATTTTTTTTAAATATTGAATATGTTGAGTTGTTGGCTGAAAACAACTACATAAGTTTTCCTCGGTTTTTATTTACCCTTGATTGTCTGTTCGGTCGCTTAAATATAGAAGGGGAAATTAATTTTATGTTTTAATTTTTATTTTTCGTGTGTAATTTTAGTAATTCTGAATGTCATAGAAGCTTAGGCTTAGATTCTCATAGAGATGTTAAAAATTCTGGTTGAATTGAGAGTATGTTAAAAATTCTGGTTGAATTGAAGTAAGGGGCTTTCTGCATGATATTATTATATTGAACTTTCTGATTATCATGCTGTTCAATTGCTACTGCAGGCGGATGTTAGTGGTTTAGTATCTCAGCTGAAGGACTTGCAGAAGAAAAATGCTGAATTAGAAGAAAATAACAAGATATTATCTGTGAAGGTACTATTATCATATTGCTTTTATATTAGGTCTTATGTTGGGATTAGAGCTAAACTAAGCTATTGGAAGCCTGCAACTATGTGAACTTGTTATTTTCTTGGTTCAGGTTCAAGCTAAGGAAGTCGAGCATGAAACACTGCAAACACGGTTCAATGAGCTGGTGAGTTGAGGCACTTCAATATTTTCATATCAGGGGTTACTAGTTATATATTTTGCAAATTACATCTTTCCTAGGCTTTAGAGGGAGAAGCCTTTAAGACGTCATTCCTTGTTTACAAGTTCATTCACTAATGGTTGATTTGTGTTCTTTCTATTCATAACTCAACTTCAGGACTATGGTATGGGTTAAAAATTTGGAAAGTAATTTTTCTCTCTGGTTTACTTATTTTCATTTACAGGAACAAAACACTGTGCCATCTCTAAGAAAGGTTCTGAAAGATGTTGCTATGGAGAAAGATGCTGCTGTTGTTGCTCGGGTATGCGCCTTTCCTCAAATTTTTGTTATACGAAATCTCTTACTTGTGCTTTTTATGCTTTGCTTACACAGTCATTGTCTTAGTATAGGAGGACCTCTCAGCCCAACTTCGCATGCTCAAGAAACGCCTGAAAGAGGCAGAAGATGAGCAATACAGAGTAAGTAAGCAGTCTCTTGATACATGAAAGCGACTTGGGTTTCATCTTATCTGTTTGTTTTGCTTTAGGCTGAGGAAGATGCAGCTGCCTTGAGAGCTGAACTCAACTCGATGCAGCAACAATTGATCAACAATTCATTTAGTGGAATAAATGACATGGGGAGTTCACCAGATCAAATACAAGCATTAGAAAATGAGTTGGCTAGATTAAAGTCTGAATTACAGGTTCTAATGAACTTAGTTTGTGTTTCATTGTCCCTTTTGAAGTGTTTCTCTGTAGAGCTCTCATGGTGGTATCTGAATTACAGAAAGAGTCATTGTTGAGGCAGCAAGAGCGACAGCAATTAGCAGAGGAGCAAGCTCGGGTTTCTGCCCTGACATCAGGAAAGCAGGAACTGGAAGAAAGACTTACTTCTATGTCCAAAAGGGGTTCAGGTAATTACTATTTACTCAAAAGGTTTTCATGGACAACAATTAATGTCAACGGTTTTTTTAATAATATATTGCATGTATACATCTATACATGTTTATGCATCTAACTTGATAAAATTTAAATATACCCTTCTAATTTCCATTCCTTTTATCATATTTTACCTATATTTTATTCTATGATGCATGAATATTACTTCCCTATAAAACATAAGTAACCCTGTTTCACTACACTTTTGCAAGCAATTCTGTTGTCTCTTATTATTATTGATTTCTTGTTATCAGAGAAATCAGAAGTTGTCTCAGAGAAAGCAACACACAAAGAATTGTCCGCGGTAAGTGGGTTCCTTTAACATGTTGAGGAAATGTTTTAGGGCGATGATTCTCGTGATAAATTGTAGCATCTTGTGTTATAATAGCTTATATGCAGCTGCATGCTGGTTATGTACCCCCCCCTTCACCCCAAATGGAGAATTCTTCTCCTTATGTTGTTTCCATGATTGGAAAATTTTTACCTTCTTGTTTCATCTTTTTTTTCCTACTTCTGATCAGCTTCTGAATAAAACGTGGTTTTTCATCATATAATTTGTTAATAATAGATTCATTTTCAAAGAGGCTTATGCTTCATCAAGGTTACTCTTTTTTCTACTGCACAGGAAGACAGAGAAAAATTCGAGAGACAGCTACATGATATGGCTGTAGCGGTGGAGAGGCTTGAAAATAGTAGACAGAAACTTCTAGAGGAGGTACAGCCTTTCCTCGAGTCCCGTGTGTTGGAAATGTAAACTACAGTTCATGTTAAGGAAAAATCTCTTTTTTGCATTGACAGATTGATAACCAATCTATGGAGATCGAAAGGCTCTTTGAGGAAAACACTAATCTCTCGTCCTCGTATCAAGAGGCAGTGGCCATAGCAAAGCAGTGGGAGAATCAGGTAAAAATCAGTCGTAGAATCTGCAGGATCTATGCAAAATTATTTCCAGAAACTTTCCTATAAACAACATAAATCCCTTTTAGTCTGGTTTTCAATCAGTATTGCTACTGTATGCGTTATTTGATTGATAAACATCGAGATTTTGCAGGTTAAAGACTGTCTTAGGCAAAATGAAGAGCTTCGTAGAGTTCTAGATAACTTGAGAGCAGAACAGTCTAATTTGCTGTCTAAAAATGGTTCCTTAGGGGTCCATAAAGGCGGGGCTACTGAAACTGATTCACAGGCAAATACAACTGAAATTCTCTCCCTCAAGGTTATGAAAGGAAAATTCATGACTTACTATTTCCCCTTCCGATAGACTTTTTACTTTCAAATAATAGTATATCCTCGACTGTGCAACATTTCTTTTCCAGGGACAACTTGTGCAAGAACAGAGCAGAGCAGATTCACTATCAGCCGAAGTAATGCAACTTTCAGCATGTCTCCAACAAGCGACGCAAGCATATAACAGTCTTGCACGCCTGTAAGATATTTTCTCACTCTTCCTAATGACTTATGAATGCATCTCCGACAAGATTATTAGACGCTAACTTCATTCAAAATGCCACAGCTATAAACCAGTTCTCCGCAACATCGAAAGCAGTCTCATCAAAATGAAGCAAGATGGACTCATTACCGTCTAGGGGAACAGGTGGCGCAGTTTTGTGCGGTGTAATTTGTTTCTCGAAACCAATTCTTGGACAGAGGATTAAATTTCTGGAGGCAATCTTTCTCGGTTGAAATGATCCATTCGTTATTTTTATGAATGTAGGTACCATTTTGTAGAGGAGAGCTGGAAGTAAAAGGCTATGGAATCGAATCCACCAAAATTAATGATCAAAATGACCTGTTTGGTAATAAGTCCAACCGGATGCCCCTTTTAAAATTTTCTTTGTGAATTTCCTGATTCTCTTGATGTTCATTCATTTCAATCTTGATTTTATAGGTTATTATTTGATAATGATTGATCTTAATCTATATTTATCTACTTAAATATTAATTAAGAACACGTGACGTGGGGTTCTGAAAGTGACAAATTTTATTCACTCGAGAATTGACAATTTTATGTTGTCACTTAAATTATTATTGTATAATACCAACATACAGATTTCCCCATAAGGTGATTTTACAAAAAAATATATTTCTTTCTGAATTTAAGTTTGTATTTTGCTGACAATTTCGATAAATTGCAAAGACCCTTGCCATGACTAGTAAATGAGAGGATCGAAAGAACATGATTGAAATTTAATTTATTTAAATATTACAAAAGTACTGATACTCTTAACATGAGTATTGATACTCTCTGTTATAGGTTGTTTTGTTTTGTAGGAAATTAATCCTCAAGGCTCCAAAACATCTCCGATAACTAGAAATGGTTAGAAATACATTCCAACAGATAAAAACGACAAAGGGACGCTTGAAGAAAGTAATTAAACTTTTCCAAGCTTAAAGGTGAAGAGAAAAATGTAACACCCCACCCGTACCCGACCCGGATACGAGTCCGAGGTGTCACATTGACATTTCAAAACATTTATTTGTACAAAATAGTGAACAATTTTAAAACTTTTACTAATATTAAGAAAAATACGATAATATATTGTTGAATTATGTTTCGTTATAACAAATTTAAGGAAAGAAACATATTTATGAATAATATTATATTGTATGAATAGTATCGATATTGTTTAAATAGTACTGTGAACAATAATGAAGATTACCATAAACAGTGTATCGATGCACAGTTACAGTACCATGAACAGTGTATCGATGCATAAAAACATCGAATTTAAAATGTGTATCGATGCACTGCTACATTGTATCAATGAACTGCTATAGTGTACCGATGCTTTGCTACAGTAATTTCAGCAAAACATATATAAAACTCATAAAAACTTAACCTTTCATCACTATAAAGTTACCATTTACATAAATACGTTTAAAACATTACAAAACTCAATCATATGATTTTACAAAACCGATTAGAGCATATCAGATTCAAATCTTTATTTACATGCAAACCACAAATAGTATTACAAAACACAAACTATTCAATTCTTTTCTGATCTGATCTTTGGAAAGGAAAAACTGACTTGTCTTGCATAACTTTTATCAATCTTCCTCTTCTCGGAACCTACGTATGAAACAATCACACATTAAGTCGTTGACTTAGTGAGGCATATAAAACATATAATAGAAACCATAAAACATTTCATACGACAAAATGCATACATGCACATATACCATCATTATCAACACCAACATCATTATCATGATCTCTATCATTATCATTAACCATTTATCATATGATCTTGTACTTATCATTTCTGTATATTATATAACACATATATCATTTCATAAAGAAACACACCTAACATCATATAATTCATGTAACACATTTCATATCACCAAAAGCATATACATCACATATATTGTACTTGTTATTATCTCTTTATTAGCCCATGTACACATGTAATTCAGTGTAAACAATAATAACAATATATAATATAATAATGCAAACACTTTTGATATATTTTATAGGCCCATGTACATTACTGAGAACTTAAGGTATTCGAGTACATTGAGGTTGTGCACTTATGCTTTCACCACAGCTCGTATGGGGTCCCACTAGGGGCATGTGAAATTTGTCTTGAAGGACCTATGTATATGTCTCGAAGGACCTCTGTATATGTCCTGAATGACCACGTAGAACCCTCGACTCTTGGCATGCCAACTATACCACTAGCTTTCATATCACATAACATGGGCATTATCATTTATAAAAGTTCACATCACTTGTATCATATAAACATGTAACTCATAACTCGTTCTCATATAGCTTATATATCATTCTTGTCATATGACCTATATCACATAGGTTCATATCATGTAACATATATCACATGTGCATGTAATCATATAGATCGTATCATATAGCTTATATCATTTCTCATGTGTTCATGTAACCATATATGTCATATATTGTTCACATATGTTCATATATTCATCACATAGCACATAGAATAACATATAAACTTATACATGTATTCATGTACATACTTTCATATAGTCTGTATATCAATGCTATATAACTAATCTCACAATTTTACCTAATCACTTATATGACATTAATTATATTATTTCCATGTATTTACTTAATTCATTTTCACATATTTTATGTTTTATTCTTATATGTTCACACCGATCATGGTCATATAGAATAATATGTCAGACATATCACATAACTTATATTACAATTTCATATATTCATGTACACATAAGAATTCCATCAATCACAAATCAAATAATATTTTAGGAGTCACTTCTTATCATAGTAACTCCGTCACTGGCTCATCGAAAGCCAATGTTTGTTCAATAACATAAATACAATTAAATCGCACTCACCTTGACACTTTATATATTCAAATCCACTTCTATGATTTATCTATTTGGATTGATCCTATCTTTGCAGTCGTTTCAGAACTTGCTTGTGCTCGATATCTACACAATCATACATTTATACATATCAGCATTCCCAATAGCATACTCTAGTTTTCATTTCTTAAACTAAATGAAAGAACTATTTCATTTCCTTTTTCAGTGTATCAGTACCCACTATAGGGTATCGGTACATCCCTTCACTGGTGTATCGATACACTGCCTATGTATCAGTACACAAATTACATTCGAAAGTTTTCCTTTTAAGAGGGGTATCGATACACTTTCTTAGTGTATCGGTACACTAACTATGTGAATGTTGCACTTTAATCACCAATCTTTTTCAAACTTCCAAAATGGTCATATTTCATATATAAACGCTCATTTTAATTCCAAAACAGCAATTTCCAGTATGATACATCAACTATTAAACAATTATACAATCATTCATAAATTTTCCAAAATTACCGAATTGATCCCCTAACTTTTTTAAAATTATAGAATGGTCGCCAAATTTTATAATGCTTGCAGAATACTTCCTACATCATTTCCAGACCTTATATAATTTTTCCATAATTTTTCTCACTCAAATACATCATGTCCAAATTTTCAAAGCATAATTTCTAGAAAGATTGAACATGTTCTAACCATGAATCAAGCTTGAAAATGAACCTACAACCTCTAAATCATCAAAATTTATCATCAATTTCATGAATCCTATCATGAACATAAACTCTTAGATTTGGGATCTTTGAAATCCAACAAGATTAGAAAGAAATATTGGTACCAAATGATATCATTTTTCGCGTAGATCACTTTCCTATTTTACAGCATAACTCAAATTCCAAAGGAATTGGCTTAAAAATTGAAAACAAAATTTCTTTCTTACCTTGCGAGGAGCTCACGTTATTGCTGTTGGAGAAGATGAAGAGATTCATCTTACAATCATTCATCTTTATTTATTAATAATGAATTAAAAATTCTTTAAATGTCAAATTACCACTTTACCCTTGAAATCAAAATATCTATACTAATTTACCCTTAATGAACTTGATATTTACATTAATACCAAACTACAGTAACCTTATCATCTTCCAATAGTCAAAGATGGAAAAATATTTTCCCACTTTACCATTTTGCCCTTGCAATTTCCAAAACTTACAATTATGTCACTTTAATCCAACAGTCTAAATCAAATATGGAATTAAACCATTAATTATTATTTTCCAACATTTTAAAAATGTGAGAATAATATTTTTATTTTCTTATTTTAGTGACCCATTTGTAACTTTTTAAAATTACAATTTGGTCCCTAAACTTTTCAAAGTTTATATTTTGGTCAACAAACTTTACCAAATTTATAATTTGATCACTAGCTAAATCCACTTGTGAAATAAAATTCTTTTTGGGAAAAACACCACTTAGATCTTTAAACTTTTCCCAATTTTCTACTTTGACCATCAAACTTTCAAAATTTGCGTTTCAGTCACTAGTCCTCTTTTTTGGATGTTACAAAAAGAGTCCCAAATCTTCAATAAATATATTTTGTATTCATTATTTATGAGCTTCATCTTTGTAAACACCCACCTAGAAAGATGTCTATTGTTTACTCGAAATCAAATCTTGTAAAAGGGTAATGGCTCTAGTTTAGCTTTAAAAAAACTAGAGTGGTTCTATCTTAGCCATTGAAAAGATAAATGTAACATCCGCAATACCGGGTTAGTGACCAAATTGTAAAGTTTCAGAATTTGGTGACTAAAGTATAAGAATGAAATAGTTTAATGATTATTGAATATATATGATGAAGGTTATTTAGTAATTATTAAAAGAAGTTAAGGGTTAAATGGTCATTTGACCAGAAAGATTTTTTATCTTTCTTTTAAAGGTGATATAAACGTGGGAAATGAGAAACATCCAGAGTTCTCTTCTCCTTTCTTCTTCTTCATACGTGGGAGAGCCAAGCTAAAGGTGAGTTTTTCTTGTGGATCAAATTCTTGATGAATTTAAGGTTGCTTATTGATCCTTAGATAATAACTAAGCTTAAGGAAAGCTTAGATTATCTTAAAACCATAAGATGAGGAGTACATGAAGAATTAAAGAAAGGAAGTAGAAAAGTGAAATCTTGAAGTAGAGTTCATTTCTTAAATTGGAAGTTAAATTTGACTTGTCAATGGTTAAATTAAGAGAGTTGGAGTGATAGAATTGGATTTAGAACATATACAAAATTTGGTATGATTCTTGAATCTCATAAGGAAGATAGGATTTTGAGGTTAAAGATGATTTACATGGATATAAGTTGGTTCAAGTAATGGTAGTTGAGTTTAATGTCATAAGAGGGGCTTAAAATAGAAGAATTAAGGGAAGAGTTGATGATTTACGTGCTAAAATGTCAGTTCTGGGCAATGTGCATCGATGCATATTCATTGTGCACCGATGCATCGATGATAAATCCCAGAAATTGTTTAAGGTGATTAATTTAAAAAGCAAACATCGAATAGGATTTATGCATCGATGCATGGTGTAGTGCATCGATGCATACCTTCATTAAAAGATAAAAATGACTCTTCTTTTAGCCCAAGAAATGATAGTTTAGAATATATTAATTAGTATA